CATTGCTATAGTTGCAGACAAATCAGACATTATGCGAGTGAATGTTCTAATCCAAGGGCCAGTGATGACTATGCTCCAATATGTAGAAATTATAAGCAATCTGGTCACACTTATCAGCACTGCAATGCACCTTTTAATTATAATAATCGGGACCAGCAAATATAAACAAGCCAATCGGCGGAGGACAAAGGCCCTGTTTAACGAGACGCACTACTACATCATGTCAAGGTGGTGAACGTAGTGCTTACCAGAGGCCAACAAAAAGATAAGAATTCAATTCAAGACATGGATGAACCAATCGCATGAGAGCAAGTAGCGCCGTCCACGAGGCTAAATAAACCAATATCAGTATTGGGACGTATCCCAATATTGAAACCTCAACAGACTGAGGAACCTAATTTGATTCCACATACTAATTGGCCGGGACCAATCAATCCAGGTCTTGTTACGGGCTTCGTACCTAATATGAGACCTGATTCGGTGGCACAACTCAATGAGGTCTCAATTACGAAGGCTTCAGTTCCGTTCCAAGCAGTTCTAATCTCTATGCAGTTCCAAAAAACGTCCTATCCGTTGAAAGATCCTCTTAGGGGCAGGATTTCCAAGGAAGCCCCGATTGTTATTCCAATTCCGAGTCTAGAGCGGAAGAATATCTTACCTCACGGAGTTAAACTCAAACCAATGAAAAGAAAAAGGGCATTGGAAATTATCCTAAATATGAAACCCTATGATATTTTGAAGGATCTAGATGCTATTCGGCCTTCTATTTCTATGAAGCAACTTCTAGCGATCGCACCAGAGTGCCGTTCTACATTGAATTCATCGTTAATACAGCATAGGCACCGTAATAGAGAAGTTTGTGAAGTCAGTTTGAACCTTGATCCAAGTGCACCAACCATCGATGTTTTGATTGACAGTGTTATGATCTTGGGTGTTTAGGTGGATGGTGGTTCCAGCATCAATTTAATGAACGTTGATACAATGGATGCTTTAGATTTGAAACACTTAGTACCCACAACATTGGTATTACGAATGGCAGATCATAGCCGGGTTAAACCAATGGGTATCTTATGGAGTGTTCAAACTATGATTGTCGGTATTGCATATGAAATCGACTATATCATCTTTTGGTTACAACATTCGACTTTATCGTATCCCATTTTATTGGGCAAACCTTGGCTTTATCAAGCAAAGGCCAAAAACGATTGGTGTCGGGGTACTTTGACAATTGGCAAGGGCAGAGACAAAATGGTGTTATAAATGTACCCAGTACACTATCACGGGGAGTCTCAATTGCCAGCATCTGAATTAACGTCGGACAATGAGCTTAGCTCCGATGACGATGCAGTAGCACCAATTACGGAGGTGCTCGTGGAGGCAGCACTATATCCTGGAGTGGTGTACCAATGTGGAGGTCCGGGGGACTACTTGATATACCCGACGGACTCGAAAAACTCGGATTATGTTAGTACTGATTGGATGATCAAGTATGATGTGCACCATGTTAGTGCCCTGGACACAAGATTCAGTACTTCATACATGTCAAACTTACCGACTGACTTTAAACCAGCGCGGGGATTGAAACAGAACATCACCGTTGCACCTTTATGTCAAACTATCAACTTGGCGACCACAGCAAAACCTGGGACAATTAAGGTCTACGAAGGTATTAAGAAACAAGAGTTGACCTGCTGGACCAAATTTTTCTTGCATCATAAATCCGCTTTTACTTGGACTTATGATGATTTAAAAGGTATTCCCGTTGAAGTCTGTGAGCATCGTATCATTTTAGAGGAGAATGCTAAACCGGTACGATAGAGGCAACATCAGCTTAATCCAAAATATTCTCTTTTAGTGAAAGAGGAATTAGACAAACTTCTTGACATGGATTTTATTTATCATGTTCCGCATAGTGCATGGGTGTCGCCAATCGTGATGGTACCGAAAAAGAATGGAAATTGTCAGGATTTTTAGAAACTTAATGTGGCCACCAAAAAAGATTACTTCTCATTATCTTTCATGGACAATATGGGTAACATATTGGTATTATCACCAGGTAGTAAAAGAATAGGAGTGGTGCACCAGTTAAAGTCATTCTGTGGTGTTGTTTTGGGTTGGCTGGAGTGCCATTTTCTTGTATTTCTTGTGTTTTCGAGAGTAGTAGTTCCAGTTAAGAGTTAACAGTGAGGAGCCAGTCACAAGAAAGAGAATGCATGGTGGAGACCCACAGGCAAGAACTATTCCGAGCTCACAGTCATTCAATTTTGAAATTGAAAAAAGCGAAGGGTCAGTTGGTAATGGAACAAGAAAAGACCGAGTTATTGGCGCAAGAGAAATTGGTATTGAGTGACTAACACAGATGTGAAACGGAGCGGTTAAGGGCTGAAATTGAGGTCTTGAATGCCGAGGTGACAAGATTAGTAGAGGATTTAGTCAATATTGGTCAAGTACAAGTATCGACGTTGCCAGTTCCCGAAGTTCCAGAAGAGAGGAGTCACTTTCAGCGCCAATTGGAATTCAGAGATGCCCAGATCCTGAAATTGGAAGCTCAAGTCCGTGAACTAGGCAAGTACAATGAAGACCTTTCAGCTCAGTTGAGGCAAGAGCCAATGGAAGGATTGGAGGAGGACGAAGATTTGTAGTTGGAACCGGAATCGGTAGAACCAATAATAGATACTGCGGCAATTGATTAATTAGATAGGCCAGAGGGATCGCAATTTTTGTAGAGTTTTGTTAGATAATTTTTAGATAGGTATCAATTGAGTGTTTGCGAGGACGCTGCACAGTTAGGAGTGGGGCTATGTAGAATAAGTAGTTATTTTCAAAATGTAGATACCTAGTGTATAGTGTAAACAGGGATAGATAATTGTTGAAAAGGTGGTTCAGCAGGTAGAATGGATGAATAGTCAGGAAAAGTAGTTATCATCTGTAGTATAGGAGTTGGTATCTCGGGGTAGTATAATGAGGATGGGAGAGGGGAAGAAAATGCCAGACTATGAGAGTTGTGAGCCGAGGGCTAAACTGTGAGAGTTGTAAGCCGAGGGTCAGACTGCGATAGTACTGAGCCAGGGATAAGCTTGGTGCTATTTCTTCTTCTTAGTTTTCTTGTTTCTTTTGTGTTAGTGTTGATTCTAATGAAGAGAATCGATTTAATGAATTAATGTTTGATTTATGGAGTTGTTTATAGATCACTGTTTATCAATTGTTGTGAAAGATTGAAGACGTATGGAAGTTTCTAGTCACTATTTATCTCAAGGTTGTAAGTTTAGTGGAGAGGAATTGTAATCGAAGGAATTGTCTTGATTAGATTCTGTGGATTGGAAGTTATTCATTCCAAGGTTTGAGATATGCTTGTATGTTTGTGAATTACATAGGGTACTGAAATCATTGTCGTGGATGTTATTGTATTGATATGAGAGAGTAGACAGTATGAGGAAAAGTTAAGTGTTCTTTGGTATGGTAAGCATTCAGCAGTAGCGGTTAATTGTGTGATCCTAACAATTGGAGCTCATATACATGGTCATTCCCCGTGTTCAAATCCCCCTATACGGGTTTATGTTGGGAGGTTTCTTCCGGAATAAGTAAAACGAGCAATCACAATATAATATTTTTAGAATCTTCTTATTAGATGTCCATAATACTTGCATTAAAACAAAGAAGAAAAGGGAGATGTCTAGGACCCACACTATCACAACAAAGAAGAGGAAGAAGTCAAAGATCCACACTAGGACAAAAAAAAGAGAGAAGGAGACCAAGATCCGTGTTGGCACAAGGAAAGAGGGGATCAAGACCAATGCTAGGACAAAAAAGAAAGAAAAGACAAGATTGGGTCTTGTGTCAAGGCAAGGAAAAGATTGAGAAGGTCTAAGACTTCTCCCAAGATAAAGAAAAAGGGATCTAAATTACCTAATCATAGGCCTTCAATATGTGTATAGACATAACATGAATGCACATAGCAATTTGGGGTGTGTTTGTAGTTTGAGGCTTTGTTTTATAGCCTATATGTGATAAATTATTTTAAAATTGTAAGTACAAATATATTTCATTCAAATTATTGAGATATAAAAGATTTTAAAAATATAATTAATTAATTAAAAAAGATGTGAAAAATATTACATATAATCTTATGATAATAGTTACATTGCTTATAGAAAGATGGATGTTATATCAATTATATAGTTGGCTTACAATTAGTATCATGGTTTTGACAGCATATAATGTGGTACTTCACTATGTTAATTATTTTCAGTCATATTTCTGACAAAAAGAAGAATGGATAAAGGAATAAAATAGCTAGACATCCATTTAGCAAAGAAGGTATGTTTTTGTATATAGTGTCTTCTCTACTTTTCTAAACAATTATATGCTTGGGAACTTAACAAATTGCATTTGTAAATTTGAATTCATAATAAGTAACAACAAAAATCACTTCAACCATAAGAATCCACGACCAAAAGGACAGTTCCTTATAAACAGTACTAATTTTTTTGCATCATTAGCAAAGTGCATCTCGTTTTTTTCATTATAAAACAAAATTATAAAAAACAACTTCATCACAAAGTTTGTTGTGAAACAAAAATGAATTAGAGAAACGATTGATGAAGTAAAACCAAAGGATTGCAAGATAACTAAGGTTACTAAAGCCAAAAGCACATCAAAAACAGGAAGAAGCAACAAACCCACAACAAAAATATTAGAAAAAACCCACAATCTAATCTCAGTTTTATTCAACTGAGATGTCAACCTGACAAAACAATTGATTCCAACACAGTTTTACTAAACTCCGTTCACTGCTCAGTTCTGTCAAGTTTAACTGAAAAGAGTTGATCTGTACCCAGTTGAGCTTGACAGGGTTGGACATGTATAGGGCGGGTGATTTGAGGGTGAATGTGGTGTTGTTAGGTGTCCTGCATCGGACTCTAAAGAAAAAAAATATGTATGTATGTGTATGTATATATATATAGATAGATATATATATATATTAGGGTGCTTAAAAGAAGTCATTCAAATGTTAACAGGATTAACGTTATATGATCCAATTGTGTCATCGAAACACAGTCCAGATGCTTTTTTAAAGTTGCGGTGCCACAATTGAGTGCCGAGTTTTGGCGTATCGGCACAGCGATTTGACAGCACAGCGGTTTGACTTGACTAGTACCTAACAGTCGTACTTTCTACTCCTTGCGACTGATTCACCAGTCCTCAATTTCTTTTTACAATGCACGGGTGCGTCAACCTACGATACGTGAATAAAAGTCTACAAACTATCTGCAGCAACACTTCCCAATAACGCAATGTGAGGATTGTTTTGGTTTCAGAACAGCTCGAAATTTTGAGAATCCCAAAAAAATCGGCCTCGTCTGATCAGTCTGGTTAGTAAGGTGGAGAGACTTCGACACACATGACATATGGCAAACGCAAATTACAGTCATAAATCTGTTCGGCCGTATGATAGTGTTCCTTGGTATCGGGTGATGCCGACAAAGGGTAACCAGAGCGCTGGAGTACGCTGGAAGAACCAGCTTGAAGCAGCCGAGATCACGCATTCAAACACTCCGTGAATGACCCATACCACTCCTCTTTCAGGAGATCCGGCACTTCGGCACCAATACCAACGTCAAATTGGATGGAATCCAACACAGAATACAGATCCCCATAGATGCCTCGGGACAGGTCGGAGCTGGAGATGTTGCGCTTCATGGCATCGAAATTTCCATACACGTTCTTGAGGTCGCCCTTGGATGATGTTTCAAGCTTCACATCTGCGACTTGAGAAGCTTCGCCTCCTCCGACCTGAATTATAAAAGATGGTATCTTTAGTCCACAGCGTCAAGGCCACAACTTGCTTAGGTGAGTAGATGTTTGCATACGGTAACGCTTTCCTAAGCCTGATGTTCAACTTCGAAGTGAATAAACCTCTTTGAAAAAAACCAAACAAAACTAGGTGAATACTGCAGCAGATGAAGCTACTTACCATATTACAAAGACCAGAGGTGTGATTTCCACTTGTGAAGCTTTCAGTTCCACAATCGGGCGAGCCTTGCACATTCTGTTGTCGGATCGCATCCAGCTCTTTTCGCAATCCGTCAACCATCTTCGCCAGGTTGTTCCTCTCTCCTTGAAATATTTTGGCGCGCTGTTCAGCCAACTGTGACCTGCGAGAAAGAGTTGCGTTCTCCAGCCGCAACTGAGCAGTCTGCACAAAAAGAGAAAACAAACAAAAATAAACAAATAAAAAAATTTAAAATAAAATGTTTGAAATAGTCGATAGGCCGCCTCACAAAACATCACAAAGAAACAGTTTCGTAATTCCACAGTTTTCCCTTGACAGACTGGTTTAAGCAATCTATGCTCCAATCTGAGGATGACAAGCAATCACCAATCGACGTGACATGAACAGGCTTCAAAGCGTCAGCGTACCAAAATTTCGAGTTCGTCCAAACGCTCCTGTTTCCTTTGCCGAGATCGTTGTGCCGATGCACGGTTCGAGGACATCCTGCACCCATAGCATCGAAAAAGATCTCAACTCCTGGCTCATCGCTAGGACTAAAAAAGAAGGCCGGGGAACGTAAACGTTTATGAAAAACACACCTTCTTTTTCTCTTCTCATCAATAAGGGCAGGCGCCACATCATCCATCTCGGAGTCATGCTGGGCATGGCCCTGCTCTCCAGCAACTGATTTACGAGACTTCCTGCTTTTCGGCACAGACTGGAGTACGCCAGCAGCGTCCTGAGGACCGTCCGCAGGAGACAATTTCGGTACCAAAAGCGCAGATTCCTTCGGCGTGGATTTTGTCACTGTGCAGATGTCATCCTTGAAGCAATCAAACCACGTCGACAAGGCTCCAGTGGACGCGAATGCGCTGGCATCAGCGCTGTCAACTTCCTCCGAGTCCAACTTCTTCAAGACAGAGGAGTAATCATTGACAATCTCGGCCAAAGCACCGTCTGACAAACCCGATGACTCTCGCAGCAGCGGCTCGTTAATCATAGGCATCTCGACGCTGCTGTACACGCTTGGATAGTCGTCACCGAACCCATCCCAACCAGGTTCCTGGTACACAAGATCCCTGATGGTGCATGTGAAAAACAGTTAGTGGCGATGACAAAAAACAAAACAAAACAAAACAAAACAAACAAAAAACAAAAAACAACAAAAACACACACTTTCCTTACAATGGTCGTAGCCAAGGTTACGGTGACGGTCATAAGCAGACATGAATCGAAGTCTGATCTGCTTGTAAAAACAAGCGAAAGAAACTGAAAAAAACACTGGTCGAGGAAGGACAGTGACTCTAAATAAGAGCTGATGGGTTTGACGAGCAGTGGTCCCCGAGCTTATCGAAACAATTATATAAGGACCAACGATAAGATTCTTTCCCCATCAACTTGGTACAGGAATTCTTCAAGATAATGCGGCAAGCCCCCGACATTGCAGAATCAACAGAAGCATGGAGGGCGAGGCTTACCTGAGGAGATCAGGCACGCAAACCGTGGCCGGTCGTTTCTCAATCAAACCGTGACACATTGTGCTCGACTAAGTTCCAGCTTTGCTTCAACTTTCCACTAACTTCCTTCAGGCCTTCGTTTTTTCTACAGTAGAGAAGCTCTGCATAAACGGCAACCAAGCATAAGACTCACGCTCAACAACAACAAGTGCGGAGATGCTTGCCGTCCACGACATGGACTGTCCTGTATGACAACCACGATAAATCACGAGTACAAACCATTCCAAACTGCAGTCGGGCATGCGTACCGGACGCCAATGTCTTCAACCTGATGAGTATCTAAACCCTTGTTTCATTATACACTCAAACCACACCCCACCACAACAACAAGCTTAACCTACCTCGAAGTCTTCCGTTTACAATGAAATCCTTGTAGGTTTCCCTTCAACGCTCGCGGAGTTCACCGATCATCAACCTCTTTCTATCACGCCACATATAAACACCACTGCACTACAGATCCTTGAATCGAACACAGACGCTTCAACAAACGACTCTCATCCGCCAACAGAAACACCGCCCACTTCAAATGCAGCACAAAACTCAAAAAACTGCCAACCACACGCTATCCCAACAATCGGTCTATTTTATCCTCACGTTACAAATGAAGGCAACCGGATCGCCGTATGGTTCCTGCATTAACCTCACCAGCACACGACTCACTGTCTGTCGATCACACATCGCTACCACGCGTACTAACACATGGCGCATCTGTCGAAGTTCATGGTTTTGAGTCCCCACCTTCACCAGCAGGCTTTCGTCGTTCCTTCAATGTCCAATTTCAGCGCGCGCAGAAGAGAGCTCACGAGGAAGAAGTCGCGACAGTACACTAACACTTTCGTTCTGTGGGTTACTAAAAACTCGACGACTTTGGACTGGCTTTGTACCATCTCTCGCAACGGATGTGCGACGCATTCATCCTAAGTCCACCACGAGGCCGCAATGAATAGCCCCTAGTATTTAAAAAAATAAAATAAAATAAACTATAAAAAACAAAACACCTCCAATTCATCTAGCTACGCATCCATCATTTGTGGCGCTCTGCGGATCCTACGAAATCGCGTATGGGGCAATACCGGCTCGCTGCGATTCCCAAATTCCCCACACAAGTTGCTGGAAAGGATTCTGGTCTAGAGGGTAGGGCACCTTTGCTAAAAGTCGGCGCTTAAATCCGTAACGTGGAATTCACACGTGTACTCACTTTTAGAAATTAACCAACCACCGCTGCCTTCAAAGTAGATTACGACGATCGCTACAAGTTAGCACTGGTGCTGCTTCCATAACCCATCTCATAATAGCAACTAAAGCTGAGCACCGAAGTGGCCACCAGTCCCCATACAACTCCTAGTTCTTTCCAGCCAAAGCCCTTTTTCCTGAAGTTCACTGCGTGATTGTCTCTAACTTCAATGTTACGTGACAAAACTCTGTCCCCTTTTAATCCGCCAAACCGTGGGTTGAACCAACATCAATATAGAAAGAAGGAAGGGGGTTTTGAACTTAAAGGAGTAGCAGCAAGCAGCACCAGAGAGGGACCACGACTGAAGTCGCCTCAATCGGAGGATGATGTGATCCGAATCCTCTGAGCAAGGCAGACCCCACTTGTGTCCTTCCGTATCAGATACGTAGCGGGGAAACGATCCTCTGACGTCTGCCATCTGGCACAACATTCACTCTTCCCCTGAGCACTCATTCATCCGTCCATGGGTTCCCTTTGGCTTCTGGCTTTTTCCCGTGGGGGCGCGGGGGGGGGGGATGCTCCTCATTAGCATCACTTCCCAGGCACTGATTCGTCTTCTTCTGGCTTCTGCTCTTGCACGGCCAGGGGTGGGGGCTACGTTGGTGCTCATTCCTGCACTGTGGAGAAAAAGCTGCACGCAGGCAGTGCAGCTATAAGGAGGAGGAGGGGAAGCACGCCGGGATGCATTCAGGCGCAGAAGTATGGTGGGTGCATTGGGTGTCCTGATGCTACTATCCCTCTACCTACCCAAGTAGGATCCCCTCCCCTCCACTTTATTTTGTTTCTACATTTGTACCCTGTGCTCAACGTTCATCCATTTCTTTCCTTCCATCCCACCATGTGTCAATTTGCATGGATGTGTGTGTATGTACATTGCAGTGGATATTTATGTGGTTGAGTACAAGAATTTTGGTAAAAAAACTGCAACTTTGGTTTTTACTTGCTGGACCTGTCTGTGAGTTGCATCTAGTCTAATTAGAACATAGTATTATAAAGTTGCAGTTTCTAATTGTTAAGAAACAACGTGAATGATACTACAAAATTTTGATTGTGTAGAATATATCTGATTGGTATCTGCAGTTACTTAAAATTTTGATACTCTAATTTAAAACATACTGTTTTGTTTGTGTAAGTGTGTGTGTGTGTGTGTGTGTCTATGTTATGGTTGTCTTTTGATGATTTAAAAATTGCATCACGGGCCTAATTGATAATTAAATACACATATACATATACTTTTAAACTGATATGCTTATTGCTGCAAAGAAATACATTGATGCTACTACCTTCCTACTATATTTTAAATATTATTTGTTTAGAAATGCCAATTCCAGCTCCATGTTGCTTGCTTCATCAACAGACTTTAATAGTTGATTCTTCAGTATAAATATCACTAATATCAAGTGATTTTGTCTATTTTAATTCTGTGTGTTAATCAGAGGTCATTTTTTCCCTCAATGCAACTAAAATGATAAATGGTTTCATTCAACTTATAAATCAAAAAAGTTATATTAACATGTTTATGTTCACAGCTATTAAGTAATTGAATATAAACTTTGTGATTTCTAAATTTATTTGTTTACTGTTTTATATTTATATCCATTCTCATAAAAATTTAAATAATATATGTGTATTTGTATCATGAACCACCATTTTTCATCACTTACATTTGTGTTTCTAGTCTTAGTTAACCAACTATGCCAGCTACCTCACTTTCCATGACATTTTCATATTCACGATGATCTTGTTGGTTACATATATAATACTGTAATATGGTAACCTACAGTTTTCTTTCTGGGTATGACATTGTGTTTTAATTTAGTTATTTTCACTTTTGACATAATGCTCATGATTGTATCTACTACATGAAGGTCTCCACATATTTTGTAGAATTGGGTGCATGCACCTAGAAGCTTACATCTTCACCGAGGATATATACATATATAGAGAGAGATTTGTATTATTATCCTATTGCTCCTTTGTACATTTTTAAATACAATCATCCATGATCCTCAAGACCTCCCACAGTAAGAGCCAATATTTTTTTATTTGACATCAATATAATTATCAAGGTTACAGTTTTGTATATATATATATATATATATCTTTATAAAAAAATACCTTCTATAGTCTTGATTTTGCAAAGTAAAATGTTGACAAGGTGTTGTTACATTTGATGAGCATTTTGATCATATATAAGACAGTCTTATTCCCCACAAATGCATCCAATAAAAGTGCATTGAATATACTCAAATTGGAAATGTACAGAATTCAACCCAATTAGTTAATTTGCTGTGAAATTAAGAATGTGTACAAAGCATCCTTATCAGTCAACAGAGAGTCATGTGATGCATGACTGAATTCAGTAACTTATCCCATGTTCTTTAAAAAAGTGAAAAAAGTGAAAAAAGTGCAAAAAGACCACACAAAGTGCCTATGTAAGTGGGAGCCCACAGGCCCACAGGCCCACATGTGTTGTAGGATTCCACATTAGGCCTAGTGACAGCAAAAAGTGGGCCTACAGAGACCCACTTTTCAAGTATGTAATCTAAATTCCCACAACATCCGTTGGATGCAGAACTGGTGTGTGCAAGTGGGTGCTGGATGTCACCCATAATTGGAAAGTACTGGCCTCTTGTTGCAGGCATCACTGTTTTATTATTCCCACTCTCTGGAATTGGTGGGGACAATGTTTGAAACCTCTGTAGTGCATGATCACTTTCATCCTTTGTAACCTTGTTCTGTGTATTCTTGGATGAAATGGGGGGATGAGATCCGCAGCTCCCTCTTGTTTGTTTACCTTAGGATAAGGATTTTTCATTTTTTATTACTTTTGTTGTTGTTGTTGCATACAAGAGTTAATGTGTCACACTTTTCATATGATATTTAGGGCACGAAAAAACTATGTTATGTCTTTATCCTCATTTAATATAAATTGCACAAGAGGATTAAATTTGTGAACATTGTACAACTTGGGTCTGTAGACTATTCCTATGAGGTGTACAAATAATCTAGATGTTTGTGTGGGACTCTATTCAACCACCCAAAAGTAGTTTTGTATCTTTTTTTTGTATGATATTCCTTGCCATCCATGACACATGACATCCGTAGATAAGAATGATTTCATGTGTTTTTGTTTCCTTATTATTAATGTTTTTTTATCACTTACTATAGCTTGTGCCCACAGTCTTTGAAATTGACCACACCAATTATCTTGTATGTTAGTTTGTTCCACCAAGTTTCTCCTTCTAAAAACCTTGAGATATTGCAAAATCTACATTCTATGTGGATAAATTGTTGTCATAATCTCAGTAGAATTATTCCTGCAAACATTGTTTATTTCTACAAGAATGTTTTCTATGGCCCCAATCTATGTGGACAAGTTGCAAGTTTGTTGTAACCTCATTTCACATTCTTCTAGATCAAGGACATTCCCCAAATTAGTACATTATTGATTCAGTTCTTTGAAATAACCATAGGGGGGGGGATAGTGCATCAATATGTAGTTATTATCTTTTTGCCTTCTAATCCTTAACTACTGCACCTTTGTGCCCAAATTAACTCTTGTAGGGCTCTTACTATAAGCCACTTATCCTTCCAAACAAACATGAAAATTGGTATGAGATTATCCCTCCATTTTGACGTTGCTGAGTATTAGGGATGAGGATGATGACATGTTTCTAATGGTGGCGCAATCCATGTTCTATCCATCCACTGTTCCATATTATTAAAATTAGAGCACTTCAATGTTGCCTTTGACCACTTACATGCTTTTCTTTCCTTTCCTTTCCTTTTTTTTTTTTTTTTTTTTTTTTTTCCCAACTTGTTCAACTTGTTGAGGGAGTTCACAACAAGTTCGCTTTCTGAGTTCCCCTGTGACCAAAACCCCAATTCTTTTTGGTCTCTGTTGACTGTTACTTTTTTTTGGTGGGTTCCACCATTTCTAAGGCAAATGGGCCGGAGTTCACCTATTCTGTTTGACTGGCCACATCCAACAGCGGGGTGAAGTCTTCATCCAGCTGGCTGTGATTATAGAATGGATGATAGTCGTCTTTTAATTGGGGAGGGGGCACTCATTCAAGGAGCATGACATGGAGGATAAGCCCACTGCAGTGCCAGGAATTAGGGTGCAAGCCTATGTCATTGAATTAGCATGACTTTATTGCATAAAAATTAGAACTCTCATCAGACATTTTTTCATGTGGGTGGTGGGGACACACACCAATAATCTCTTGCTATTAAACAGATATGAACTTTACATCAATATTAATGTTGTCTCAATCCTTATTCTTTTCAACACCACCTCTTCACACTTATTTTTTATTTTTTTTCCCCTAATCATTACTTTCAACTTGTATTACCATCTGTAATTGGAGGTTAAGGATGAAACTATCCAAGCCAAAGAAGGGTTTGAATTTAGAGAATGAAAAAAGTCTCACTCGCAGGCGAACAAATTTAGCGCTGCATATCACACAATTTCCAGGAGTTTCCACATCAGAAAAATCTTCTTGAAAAGGGCCCATTTGAAGGTTCAGGCAAATCCCCGAACTCTCCCCTCTAAATATCCCTCGCCCGCATGGTATGGTCATGTTTCCATAGCTGTGCAGTTGCACTCATGGGATGTGAGAGGAAACAAGTGAAGATGTGCTCGTACAGGAGCCTCTTGCCTCGAGATTCTCAACTCGGTCCCGATCTCGATCCCGAACAGTGGCATCTTAAGTATCTCGAATCGCTTGCTGATCTCTCACAAAGTGTCCGTACACATCTGCTGAAGAAAATAAACTATTCGCCATAGACCAAGCTCCGAGTATTCAACTTCTCAGGAAATTTTGACTAATGTTATGCTGTGACCCAATGCAGAAAATCTGCTTGTTTGATGAGTCCGCGTTGTAACGGATCCCACGGAAGAAGTTTGAGATCCTTTCATTCTGGATTTTCAATGTTGTTTGCAAAGGAGGGTCAAATCTGCTTCCTGCTCTCGGGAGAAATGGGTCCCACCACTTGTAGCTTCGCCACGAAGCTGATCGACGCTACCCTCATTTCTCTAGTTTCATGCCAGGAGTGCTCGTGCATCATCAAATCGTTGCTGCACGTCTTGCTGTGGCTTGATCGATCACTTGTGTGCATTTCCCTCCATACATGTATGTGTATATGTGTTGTTTTTAATGGTTGATTGTTTGCAGAGTTCGGGTGGCATGAGTGAAGATTCGACTCGTGGTGAGGTGCTTCCGTTCTCATGGTTCCTGGCAGCCGAAACTTTAATCTGATTGAACGGCTTGATTGTATCGAGGTGAGAGGTCATTCACCACAATACAGTCATGGTGATATCTATGTCCATGACAATGAATACCTATTCTCTATTCCTCCTGAACCCACATGTTTTAGATACGAGGGTGTACGATTGCAGTTTTTTTGTGTTTTTCTTTTACTCTGATAGGGCCTTAGAATAGTATCCAGTAGTTTCAATCTTCTCGCATGGTGCCATTTCTTACTGTTTTTTCCCCAAGTGGATGCATGGGGTGTACCCATGTTTTCTTGTGTCTTGTTATTGGACTGCGGCCGATCGTATTTGTATGTTGAGTAATGGTAAAGCGAAAATCGGTTGTAGGGTTTAAGAGCTCGTAGGATATGGAATGATCCACGTACTGTGACCGGAATGCATTCGAGAATGTTATTTTGTGGCAACTATTCATGAGATGGACGTTTTTGTTGTTGTAACATTGACTGATGTCAAAAGCTTTGAGAGAATCAATCTGATGATTTTTCATGCTTATGACTTTCAATTTTCGAGCCTCGGATCATAACTCGTAACGTTCAAATCCCTTTATTGAAATACTTGGATAATAATTTAAGTCCACAATGTCGCTGATGTCATTGACTGCAGGAAGGGGCATTGTAATTCCGTGAGTATTAGATTATGGCAGGACTTGATAATGGAACTTGCATTCGGCTTGAGGTCCTGGAGGAGCTTGACATGTCGACTGTGAAGAGGACGCTCTTTGTGAAAAGTGTTTGGGAGCCAACGAGATTATCTCCAACGAGTTTCTCTCTTGCGATCTCCGATGGGCATCGGGCTTGGACGTTTGAAGGTGAATTTCCCTCCTTTGCAATCTGTTTTCCATTGAGTGGCTTCTGGCTGGAATTCTGCACTGATTATAGAATGTTGTGCACTGAACATTTTACATTTCGGATACTGTAAAGGCTCTGAGACCTTCGTGAAGAAAAGGGCTGAAGTGTGGGACAAGAATGTGAGCTGGGTGATGGACAAACTCAAACTCCTCCTCACTGTGGTACAACCGGGGATAGCTTACCACTTGACTGGGATGCTCGATAATCATAGAAAGGTTCTGCATTCCCTCCAATATTTCCCATCTTCCACTGCTAGTGATGCTTCTTGTAATGTGTTTCGACGTTGTTCAAGCGATCAAACATGAGCTGCCTGAACTGCAGTTTAGATGTTCGGTTTTGCAGGTATCTGCCATTCCTTTTTCCAGCTTCTATCCATTGAGAAAAAAACACCAAGTATCTCAGTTTTTCATGAATTTTAAACAAATAGGCTAGTAGGGGTTTTTAAAAAATTATGATCATTATTATTATTATTTTTAAATGGTCATTTTGAGATAAGTTCTCAATTATCTTTTGAGCTTACCTGTCAAGAGGCGTCCATTCGTAATGCCCGGGGTTGAATTGGGTGCACCGATTGTGCAGTTTTCCTTCGAGATTCAAGACATGGAAACAAATCTTTCTTTGACAGCCAATTTTTCATTGGTCGATGCATCTGATCCAGAAATTGTCACGCGTGATTTGTTAGGTTTTCTGTTGCATGGCAATGAAATACTTACGGTACTTTCAATATACCTGTTTAAGTTGTGTTTGTTTGTTTGTTCATTCCTATTTCTGTGTTTTGTTTTTCTTATTTTCCTCTTGTCGAGCGCATCTTAACGCCTTTACGTAAAATCCAACCGTTTTTCTTCTCTTCAGGGCGAAGCTGTCAGAATTACTATTATCATTAAAAATGATTATTTTACATTAGCAGCTGCCTTTGTGAAAGAAGTTTGAGAGTGATATTCATCTTACAATTGCTTTAGGTGGATTATGTGAAAAAATGCCGAAGTTTTGATCAAGTGCTGGCTGAAAATAAAGCCCTCTCTGAGCAGAACAAGCGCTTCGCCCATGAAAAGAAGCAATTCGAGCAAGCTGTGTACAAGAAGGCACTAACCCTGCAATTTCTATGGTGCTTAGATTGAACTATTCTGAAAGTTTTTGTTTTTTTTTGTTTTGTTTTTTTACCAGATTAAATAGGTCCCATAGGATGCTCATTGTGATTGTTTCTATTTCAGTTTGTAGCGGTCCTCAACTCCAAAAAGATAAAATTGAAGGAGCTTAAGAAGGAGATAGAAAAATGGAAAATTCAGCCTGAATCTAAAGTAGAGAGGGATGACACGACCAGTTCGTCCAGTGGCGAAGATGAAAAGGAAATTGATCACCAAGAGGTATTAAGATCGTCATCAAATAAAAGTATCAGGGTATGGTAAATAATGCAATTATTCGTCAAGAAAAGTAAAGAAATAATAATTTACACTTCCTAATCCAAGTATTCAAACATTGTTCTGCATCAGTTGTATTCGTAATCACGATGATGTGCTGTTTGTAGCAGAGGGAAGATGGATCCAGTGGAAGTTTAATCGGTGCATCAGCCTTCAATGACCCGGATGCAACCCAACCATTTTTGGATGAGATGGAAAACAAAGCCCGTATTACTGAGTTTCCGAATGAAGACGTTCCTTCCAACGTAGTGGCAGCTTTGCTTGAGGACACATCCTACACTGCCCTACCAAGAAAACGGCGTCGGCGTTAGTGTTTATTATTTTAATTGTACCAATCATCGTACATCTCTTCTGTAAGGAGAAAATGCCCAATTATTATGTGGAGAATTTAATAAATATCACTGTCTAGTTCTAGAGAAGAATTTCAAGTTGAAATTTGAAATAAGAACTTGCATCTCAAGTTGATATCCTGACCAAAATCAGTCAAAGTTGAGGAAACACGAGTCTTACAAAGTGGACAGATTTCAGTGGCCTGATATTGTCCATGCGCTCCAGACTAGTAGCACATGGTTGAACTGCTATGTACTCGCCTAAGTTTTACTAAAACCCCATTAAAGCTTCCTTGGTCTATGTGCTTGCTAACTGAGCATGCTAAGTAAACAGCATTCGCCCCTAACCTGCAGCCATTGATACATCTCAGAGGCGTATTATTTTGCCGATATTTCGGTTTTACTCAACTCTTTGGATATTGTTTTTCACAATGGTCAGATCATTTCGCACAGAACACCGCATTCCTTGATTAAGACCTACTTGGAGGTGAGCGGAACAAGCCTGCGGCCACAGACACTTGTGTAAACTACAAACTGGAAACGAAAACAAGTATCCGACAAAAAATTAGCTGGTAAGAAAACCATAAGTGAATATATACATCTATATATCTATAAATATCCACTGCTCCGACCAGTGTATGGATCGACCGTCGCAAGGAAACCCAGTAGAAAAGCCAGCCTGGGGGAGAGAAGAATGTCGATACAGTAGCATGAGATTCCAAACAATCAAGGAACCCTCATACTCCTCACCATGGAGCCACACTGGTCTTGGTGGATGTCGTGATGTATTCATCAATCCTCTCATCTTTCAGGAACGAGCTGTTCATTAATACAAGTTAAAACAAGTGTTGTTTCCTGGTGAGCTGGTGCTCTTCCAGCTGTTCGGCCTTAACTCAAAGGTCCAAGTCTTTCTTTAATACTGGATCCTTGAATCTCCCCTCCTCTCTCTCTTATGGTTTGGGTGTCTGAGGTCTCAGAGTCCTTCAGATCGTTTCTTGATGCTGATGACCACATTTCTGTATGTAATTTAATTTTGGTGCAATTTCGTCAATTGGAGTGTTACTTGCTGGGATTGATGTTGTAGATTTTAGCTCAGGGCGTGGATGGTGGAGGATTTAGGGGTTAGGGTATTGGTGTCGGTGGTTCTTGCTGCGGAATGTTGCCGTTGGATGTTGCGTTTTGGAGAGGAAGAATTTCGGGATTGTGGGTTGTCAATTCGTGAATGAGATCTAGGGGATAAGGCAAGCATGCCACGATGGTCAAGGGCTACGGCATGGTGTGACCATTACGATGCTGTGCAGTCGTGCGCTGTCGTGCTCCTTTACATACAGGTGAATTTTAACTTCGTTTGAACTACTTCTGGTGCGATGTCGTTCTCATGTTGTGATTCTAGGGCAATTCGAGCGTCCGAGCTCCGCAGTGAGTGGGTCACTCCAATTCAAGCAGCTACCCTCGGCCAGGATTCTGTATCTGTATTTACTTGGCAGCCTTCCCACTGGGCATTCGAATGTTTGCCTGCTGATGTAAATTCGATGTACTATCTCTTGCATGTGCTTGAATATGCGTATTCTAAGGGAGTGCCAGTATTTCCTTTATGCTTCTCACTTAATTCTGAAATCTGGTTGTCTGACACAATGGAAATTAGGTGTAACTGAAGTACGTGCACAGTGTTACAACAGTTTCACATCATTACTCTAACTCGGACAGACCTGGCCAAATTGTTACCGCATAAGCACACAGGTCCCTTATGTGTCCCGAATATCTCGTATCTAAATTGAAGCGCTTCAGCGCCTTTCATATGGTGAAGGGTTCATCTAGGGCTTATGGAAGGGCGGGAGTATGGAGAGGCCGGGAGAGTATGAATTCTGGATTGTTTGTATAGTCTCACATAATGTCTTAAAAAAATATGTTTGCGCTTTCATGCAATTGTCTGTTACTGATCATGAGTTGGTGCCGTTTATGAGAGCCAGATACTTGGCTGATTAGGGACTGTTGGTGTAGGTGGCTTGTGCATTAATTGGATCGTTAGGGGCTGTTTACACCGGAATTGTGTTGGCCAACTTCACACTCGCTTTGTTCGCCTTGGTTGCGATTGAGAGCGGCAGTCAAAGCCTAGGTCGAGCTTATGGAGGATTTTTGGCTCTTGCTCTCCTCCTTGACATTGTTTGGTTCTGCCTCTTCACCATCGAAATCAGGTGGGTATCTCTCAGTGAATTGCCGCGAGAAACCTTAACTTGTGTGTTTTGCAGCTGAGAGTAAGTTTTAAATTTAAGAAAATCTGTAATGTCCCTGTCAACTAAGTCTTCTTCCTTTTCTGAGGGAGTAACGCTTCTTGGTTGTGAGAAACTGCAGGCACTCCTGGAATGAAACGCAGCTGGGAAAGTTCGGAGCCTTCTCTGTAAAGCTAATGTTCTGTATGCAAGCTTCAGGATGTGGACTGCGCCTCATTTCCTCCTTCCTGTGGTGTCAGATGTACAGACTTCGTGCAATATCAGAGGCATTGAGTTTGCAAGAGCGAGCCGAGTTTCATGGCAGAAATTCAATGTCAAGTCTTCGTAAGCTGAATGATTCAGTATTAGGGGATGACGCAGAATCTGAACTGCTTGGGGGATCGATTTACGACACAGCTGCCTTTTCCTCTCTTTTTGAAAGTTTCAATCTTCAAAGCGACCTTGACGTTGAGGTACACATTTTATCATCTTGCTTTGATTAGGTGTGAGCGGGTACTGGTGCAGCTTAAAAGGTTATTTTGGTGAATTTGCTAGCCATCTTGCTAACCACTGTCTCATCCTAGTGATTATCGTAATACTTCGTCGCTCAATATAATGCATCTTTTCTTATAAAAGCAAGTTAAAAAATTGCTGATTGTGCATGCTAGTTTTTAATCTGGAAGTTGGATTATGATTTTACTTTTTGAATCATTTTGTTCTGTAAGTACTATCTACAACTAGGGTAGATCATTGACTGCGAATGAACTCGTGGCAGAGTAATGGGCAGAGGTCTGAGGACGAGAGGCCACTTCAAACTCCGCTGCTACTTCGTTAGTCCTGATTAGAGGAGTGATCACGTTCATTCTCGTTTGTAGGATGCATTCTTGAGACGCAGCATCAAGTATGACTGGCGTTTATCAGCCATAGCATATCACTTCATTCACTATGGTGACTTGCTGTACATGATTTGGGCTTGCGTGTTAAGCTTTTATACTTTCCAGCTAATTTGATTTTCTACAATTATTTTACTATGTAGAAGATTCTTATGGTTCGACTTGGTACACTTTTTGCAATTCAAGAGGTGAGCCGGCGATTTTAGTCAAGCCAAACAGACAATATTTTGATATATGCTGGGGCTGTTAAGTCACCCATATATTTCAGTATGAGCAACATTTTATTTCTTTATGAATCAAGTCTCCAATCTCACATTGAAAACACAAAAATGTGAACTATTGTACAAAGCTGTTAAACTTTTATACGTTTGACATGCATTTTGCAGACAATTTGTCTAAATTGAGAAGCAAAATTGCTAACCAAGATTGTTAGGAACAAAATGGTAGGCGGCTAAAAGTGGTTAACCAGTTAAATTCATGAAGTCTAATTCTATGCACACAAGCATTACTAGTAAATTCTTTTTTTATCACTAAGAAAACAAATCACGGTCATCTTTTCCAACAATCTCATCTACACTCCCGATGCTAACCTTGATTGATTATGGACCTCCAACCTTTGATTAAGGAAATCCAATCGCTTTAATCTTCCTATATGTCAAAAACCCGGAGTACTTTCCAGGCGTGATGGAATGTGTCATCACACCTGATGGCAGCCTTTGGCGGTTCAAGGACCGCCTGCCTATACTCTTCCACTCTAGCGAAGAACAGAAAAGCTCTAAGGAGCTGGCAAATTCTTCAAATCAACTTCTTTAAGAAACCAGTCGGGTATGAGCTTGGCTGCGTGGGGATAGAGATCCTTGTAAGAATTTCGGATAGTCACTTCAGCCACCCCAGCCACCCTTGATATGTCTGAAAACAAAAGTAATTGGTTTCAAAATTCCATGGGATAATCAAGAGTCCTAAAATCACCCCATAATGTTTCGTAGCAATTAACCAATCAATTACAAAGTACTTGGTCATCAATAATGTACCACCAGTCAGAGCCTGTGCATTGTAAAATCACAAACTAGCAACCACAAATCTTTACAACTGTTAGACCAATGGATGGAATTACCTTTTAGAGCTTTCTTATCTTTTTCATTAAGCTGTGAGATCATGTATATAGCAGCAGCAGCAACTGATATTGGACTTTTTCTGCATACGCGCACAAAAAGAAACAAATCAAATACTCTGTCAGTACTGCAAATACTATCATATAATTAGTGTGAATAATACAAAGACCTTGCTTGAGATAGGCAGTATCCTTAGAATAGAGGACAATGTAAACCAGACCAATTTACTTCTACAAATTAGTGCATAGATGTGAAGTGAAATAGACGTCACTAACCGGATATCCAGCATCTCTGACTTCTTTACCGTCTCTGTGGCAGCTCTGACCTCGTTGTTTTCCATATTCAGATGCGAGCAGAATCTCCTCTGTAAAAATAGAAGAAACATTTAGACAACAATGTTCAATGTCCAAGATGATCAGTATTAGTCTCAAGAGTACATGATTTGTACGGATATACATGATTACCTCACCAAACAAGAAACTCATCAAGTTCGAACATGGTCAATAAAATTACTAATTGCCTGAGTTCTGATAGATGCAAGCCACAAATGTAGAATAAAAGAGGACCTACCAAGAAGTCACCAGCATGGATTGTTCCCATCTCCATAGAAATACCCATATCCTCTTCTAATTGCTTCACAATAAACTTGGTTGCTCTCCCAATGTCCTTCTTCGATGCTCCATTAGCAACTGAGCATATTTCTGCTCATCCACAAAAAATCTGTAAGAAAATATAGTTACGGAGCATCACCTCTGCAGCAGGAATTTTACCCACGTCGACCGGAATTCGCCATGTCCATATCAGTGCGAATTTACAGGCATGTATACATGTTCACCTAATGCCCAAAGAATCCAATTCAGGTGGATAATTCAGCGCCGAATACCTCAATGTCATCTGTATAGTCCGTCCAAGGATATGATTGATTCAAATAAATCGTTGTCAAGTGCTAAGAGAGTTAAAGTGTAAATCAATTAGCAGGCTAGACGAACAATGCTTCCAAGTGCACTTCTCGAATATGAAATTCTCACAACTTCGAATAAACCTTACGGATTCCCAGGTCTAGCGCTGAATTGCCCACATCCAGGAAAAACATACGGACACGCTCCACAGTGATTGCACTCTGAGCTACTTTCACAGGATTTCATTAAAGAAGAACTGGATCCATCCACCATGAAACTGATGCTAAAAGCCACAACCTAGATATTCGATGGCAGATTTTCACCCCCAGCATACTTGTCGACTTAGCATCTTCCAAAAATGATTGAACATATCCAGAAGTATGCAGACCAGAAAATGGAAAGCCAGAACCCAATCATACTTGACAAGGGACCTTACTACCCGAAACAAATCAATCAGTGAGAAGGTACGACCTTTGAATGTTCGAGGTTTATCTTCCTGTCGGCAAGCGATGTATAAGCAGGCAGCCAGTATCGCATCCTGACTTCGACCACGGATAGATTTCAGGTCTTCCACCTTCTTATATATCTCATTGGCCCGATCCTTCACACCAAAACCGAGGGAGGCATAAGCACCACTCTGCGTATTGCATCATTACATGATCCCATTTCCAAATAATCTCTTTCACTTGCTCATATTTTCAGGTGCAAGGATCTCCAGTGTCAATGGACCAACAAGAGTCCCAACAACTGAAAACATCTGCTCACCTTGATTGTTGACACTAGTCCGAGCCTGAGCCACGCCCCACATCACCCAACCCCTCAATAAATTAATATGTTCGAGTTAATTTGAAGTATTTAGAACCCATTGACCCGAGGAAAGTAATAGTGGAGACCTAATCTCAGTTGTGCATTGCTATTATGAATCCGAACAGCTAGGACAGGGTTAAACCACAAGAAACGTATCTTAAGTACAAACCCTAATTTAAACACAAGCCATGATAACATCATGCAACAGATATTCGCTTCCCTTTCATGCCAAGCGCTACCACTCGCATAGCGCTGTGATTCTAATGCTGTTAAGGAAAAAAATGTACAGAATACTATGCACAACAAAGAGCGCAAGTTAACTGTAAAGCTGACAGCAATAGTCTAATGAGCATGTCTCAACATTGTCGAACAGAACTTTGCCGCTATGACAGGTTATGCTTTCCTCTTCAAACTGAACTATGGGGAGCCGCTAGGAAGAGCGAGAGTGATATTAAGCGTACCTGTCTGCCATGGTTCCAATTGATCGAAAAGCAATGATAAGAGACCGATCAGGATTTGAGCCCCTGTTCTGCCAACGTCCAAGAGATGACATGAAATCGCCCTGCGCACCGTTGGGCTTGGATATGATGGTTGACAGCCCACCATCTGTGAGGAGGGGATTGGAAGGACCACCGACACGGACTGGGTCGCTGGAAGTTGAATCCGAAAACGTTCGCCATTCCGAGCTTTCATCTACGGAATGCTGCTCTAAGACTAATCCGCATTCTGCACACACCATGTCCCCCGCGGCATGGTCCACTACCACCTCTGTCGCCTTCCGACACTCAGGACACACTGTCTTGTTCATCTTCGGATACTTTGCGCTTTCAGATTAATGCAAAACGAACTGCTCTCGTCTGGACGTCTGGACTTGAGCTCCCCCTCCAATAACTGCAACTCAAGGGAGAAATTTATGTCGTCAAGCAACTACCCAAACCCATTCATATGCCACTCCACCGATGTTATAGCCAAAGCTCGAATCTTCCCCTCAAAGATCGATGTCGGCACCAAACGCAAGAGTTACTGGAACAAACGAAAATTAGGGTTTCTACAAGTGTGGATAATTCTTCACGCAATTCACCACGAACCCAACAACAAATCGCATATTCCTTAGATCACTCCAGCCATCTCTCAACATCTATCTCAGCACCATAATCACACCACCACTACATCATTGAAATTCCAAAACCTACGGCTGTGTTATTCCTCTGTATTAGTCGCGTTTCCTTGAATTTTCGACCCAGCAAGCAGTGTCAGCGTGAGAGGACGAGTTCGGTTCCGTGAAGAGGTATACACAGGGTGCTGGTTGTGAAGAGGTATACACACATGGGTGCTGGTTGGGCACTGGGCTACGCTCTCTCGGCACCAGACGAAGAGGGCACAAGCGCCGTGGACAACAAGTGAGAATGTGGATGTGCGGCGCTACTTATGCTTGTCAGTGGTCATAGGACGCGTCTTGATTCCCGAATCCCGTTGCCGCGCAATCTTCAGCCGCAAGTCGCAGACCCGGCTTTCGGCTCAAGATTGCGCGGCAGCAGGTCCACGATGAGAACCTGCTTCTGCAATTCCATGGCCACCTATCGCCGAAGCCAGTTGGAAAGTCGGTGCTCATCTGCTGGCTGCTGCTTCCCCCTGGCCCCACTGGCCTTACCTTGCCCCCTACTTGGCTTTGGCTCATTTGGCTCTCACTCTCTGGCTATGGCCACGGCGGCTTCTTCTTCCTTGGCCTGCGCGTCGGAGCACGGCCACCCACCCTCCTACCCTTCCGACAGATGAACGTCCGCATTCATTTAGTAGAACTCGTGCATGAAAAGTTGATGGCTACCATATTAGTTGGATTTTGTTGAGAATGTTTAGAAAGACACAAGAGTAATAGTAAGTCATACACACAAGAGTAGTAGTAAGTCATACACACACAAGAGTAGTAGTAAGTCATACACACAAGAGGGTTTCTAAGGAGAGAGAGAGCTTCACACATAAAAATTTGTTCATCTGGTTGTGTCTCGTATACAAGAAGAGAAAAGAAGAGAGGATAAATAGTACTTCTCCACTAGATTCTAAATACTGTAGCTATAATATTTACTGTAGTCCATAGTAAATATTATGGAGAGCGTCGGCTACATTTAATGATCTCAACACTTCTCCTCACTCATCATAATATTTACATAATATAAAATTTGTATAGAATTATGTTCTATACTTTTTTGTGATCTTGCAAGATCAACAATTGTTGCCTCATTAAAACCTTATCTAGGAAAACCTTATTTTATTTAAGGATAAAACCATAGATGAAGAAAAAAGAGTACAACATCATTTTCTTTAATTATTTAAAGAGCTCATTAACTTTCTTATTCAAGAAGAGCAAGTCACCGCATACTAATGCCATAAGTAAGTCGACAAGGTTGCTTAATGGGAGAGCTTTGGTGAAGAGATCAGTAAGGTTATTTGTAGATTCAATTTTCTTAATTATAAGTGCTTGATCAATAATCAAGTCATGGATATAACTAAAATACTTTGGATCAATATGCTTTGTCCTTTCGCCTTTAATCAAACCAACTTGTATTTGTGCAATATAAGCACTATTATCTTCATGCAAGATAGTTGGAGAATCATCATATGAAAATCCACAGGTTGTTTGAATGAATTTATCAATTGATCGCAACTAAATACATTCTCGAGATGCTTCATGTAAGGCAATAATTTCTACATGGTTGGATGAAGTTGCAGTTATTGTTTGTTTCACTCATTTCCATGATATTACAGCTCCATGTTTTAAGAATACATATCATGTTTGAGATTTAGCTGTTGCAATATCAGATTTATATCCTGCATCTCAATATCCAATCAATTTTGGATCTGCGAATTGTATGTAGTATAATCCCAAGTGTTCAGTATCTTTTAAATAATGTAATAAATATTTGATGCCATTCCAATGTCGTAGTATTGGATGTGCACTATGTCTTATAAGAACACTAACTGCAAATGTAATATCTGGTCTTGTAGATGTAGCTAAATACAAAAGTGCTCCAACCGCTGCGAGTGTCAAGGATAAGAACTCGATAAAAAAGTAATTTAGAAAAGTGAGCCTTCACTCAAAGAAAGGTAAAAAAATATAAATAAACAAGTATGAATATTGAAAGAGAAATTGGAATGGCTATTGCCAAAAGACAAGAAAATTAGAAACCCTAGAAACTAGACTGGAAGTAAGAAAGGAGTTGATAAGAGTGAAGAAGGATTTACTCTTGTTTCTATATATACTATCTAATTAAGGGCTATGTGGTGACGTTCTATAGGACCTCCAATAAGTGTTGACTTTGCAAGACACATGCCTTGACTTACAAGGCAAGTTTTTCTACGTGTGGGCCGCATTGTTAGCTTGGTCTTCAAGCTAACAACATGTGTGGCACATAGCTAACTTGTTGACGACGTTTCTAATCCAAAAAGTCAATTAAAGACACCTATAAAGTCAAAATAGTGTCTATGAAGCTTCTAAAAAGCTACCATATCAAATGCTATAGAATTAACTTATTTTTATCTACTTTTATTTACTTCTATCTATTTATATATGTAATTATTGGCTTATATGAGTATGTTCGGGACATAACCTCCTCTTTTAGAGACGAGTTCCACAAAGAGTGATCATCATATGTTGAGAAAATCTATGATGCAACAAATTGTATTTGCCACATACTCTGATCTTTATTCTCTTTGAAGATGATTGATAGGGCCTCTCAACCATCGGTAGTGTCCCATATCAGGGCGGGAAGACCACCCAGTTATTTGATCATTGTTGAGGCCTTCATAACTTCCTTCGAATAGAATATTTGAAACACCATGAGGAGTTGTTTCTATCTCTAGTAAAATCACCAAACATCAGGAGTCCCTTCCCAAGTCGTAATACTAAACGCGTTGTATCTCGCTATCTATTTGAGGAAGAACATGTCATTCTTGAAGATCTTCATCTCGATTGCATCAACTTGAAGGTTGTGACAATCGTAATATCTCGTCCGATAAGTCAACAAATGAAGGCTCTTGAGTCGAATCAGTTGGTTGTTGGTTTTCCATCTCCTGAGCGTCACAATTACAAAGAAGCTACAAACAAGGATTGAAAGTAGAATGTTATCTTGCCTAGATGTTGTTTCTTTTATAAAGAAGGTTTTTATCTTGATTTTGATGGATGTCGTCGATGAAAAGCCTCCACCGCCTTTGCTGCATTTATAAGATTCTTTATTGGCTCCCATGTGCGTTCACTAATATCATATCCGTACTTATGGACAAGATATTCCAATTTATTTTGGCACCGCCTAGAATCTAAGACTTCTTTTACTTCAAACTCTTCAATATTATCCACTTCTATAAGAAGAGGTGGACCTTGTTGTCTTCTTGGTATATCCATTGTCTTGTATGGTTCAAGAAGATACACGTGGAATACTAGATGGATTTTCATTGACTCCGGTAGATGTAAACGATATGCGACTGGATTGATTTGTGCAAAAATAGAAAATGGTCCCAACCTTTGATAGTCTAACTTGTCACAATGACGAGGAGTCTTGATATTATGACAAAGTAGCCATACCTTATCACCTAAGTGGAATGGTCGTTGTTCCTTTTGATAGACATCTGCATTGACCTTTTGTTGTTCTTGAGCTTCTTTTAACTGCACCTTCATCGTTGCATGTAACTCTAATAAATGAATTGCCAAATCTTTTGCAGTAGGATTATCAACTTTTGAGAAGTCAAAAGTATCAAGTTGTGGATGATAACCATAATTGATAAAGAAAGGTGTTTGTTTTGTAGAAGAATATACCATATTATTATAAGCAAATTCTGCCAATGGTAAAAGAATTATCCAATCATCTTATTGGTAGTTAATGATACATCTTAAATATTGCTCTAAAACTTGATTAATACGCTCTGTTTGTCCATCAGTTTGAAGATGGAATGCTGAAGATAGTTTTATATCCACTTTTAGAATCTTGAAAAGAGTCTGCCAAAATCTTGATATAAATTGAGTTCCCATATCTGATATAATATCCTTGGATAATCCATGATAGCGATAGATATTGTCAAGAAAGAGCTTAGCTGTTTCTTCACTTGTGATAGATTTTATATATGGTATAAAATGTGCCATCTTGGTAAAACGATCTACCATCACAAATATAGAATCATAAGAACTTGAGATTGGAAGATCCGTGATGAAGTCTATAGAAACAGATGGCCATGGTTGTTTTGGAATGGATAATGGCTGAAGAAGTCCAAAAGGTCAATGACGAGGAGTATTTGATCTTGAGCAAACATCACATGATTGTACAAAATCTTTAACTGCCTTCCACATTTGAGGCCACCAAAAATCTTTAGATATTAGCTCCAAAGTCTTATTGTATCCAAAATGTCCTACTGCTAGAAAGTCGTGACGAGCTTCAAGAATATGTAAATGTTGTCGTATGGCGTGATTTGCTATCTGGGAATACACTGGGTATCTAGCTGTAGAGAGTGTACCTTAAACCTTTATAAGATTCTTTTCTTGGCTTCCAAAACTCCTTTATTTTTGTATAAAACTCCAAATATAACAAAATCCCTTCAAAACATATTTTTTCCGCGAAGGGTTTTCTCGCCCCGAACTTTAAAAAATCATAACTATTGATCGAACCGTTCAGTTTGTTTCAAATTTACAAGATAGGTAGAATTTATCCTTAACTTGTACCACAAAAAAAACCAACTACAAATTCACTCCCGATCTTCTGAAATCTAAGAAACCCTAGCAGACACTCCAAACCCTAATTTACAAGCATCCGAAAACTATTTTCCTTATATCTCAAAAACCCGAACTCCAAATGACATAAAACTTATGCATAAAGTTTACTAACATGAAATTACACGTTCTTTGAAATTTTGAGCCAAAACCTCACAAAATTGCTCAAGATATAGCTCAAGAGACAAACACTAGTAAATCAATTTACTTACTACCCTTAGATTGCATGTGCTGACTTCAAAATCCAATAACTCCTTCATCCCAACTTAGAATCCAGTAAGCAGTATTTGAAAAGTTTAGCCGCAAAAGTGCTCTTTCCAGTCGCGGTTGCCGATCCTCAATTGCCATCTGTACGCGTGCGTTATGCCCAAAAGAGTGACAGTAGGTCCAAAACTAACACCTTAACTTTGAGCGCCTATAACTTCTTCATAAAAACCTCAAATGACACAAAACTGGCACCAAAACCTTAATCAAAAACCTAAACCTTCTGACCCTAGCCTTCAAAGTTCGAATGGCCTCGAGAAACTAACCCTAATCACTAATATGGCCTCGGGTAGCCTCCTCAAAGCCCATTGGTCATGATTTTTGACCAATAGGAATGGAGATTTTTATTTTTCATCTCCATTCATATATATTGGTGCCCTAATTCCTCCCTTTGC